TGTTTTTATCTTATTTTATTTTTATATATATATATATATATATATTTTTTTTTTTTACTTTATTTAATTTATTAATATAAAAGCATCAGAAATTTTGTTTAGGATATTTCTATTTTTAAATGTCTTAACAATAATAATAATAATAATAATAACAACAGTAATATTAATTCTTATTATTATTATTTAAAGTTTGTTTAATTTAATTGTAGATTTCATCTCTCCATCTTATTTTATTGCCAGCTTTTAGCATTGTTTTTGTTTAATTCCTAATTTTCATAGCTGGTTTTTTATTTATTTATCTATTAGGATTAACCCCTTGAGATGTACCATCTAGTCTTTATGAGTTTTCAGTAATATTTTTGTTTTGAGGTGAATTATAGACATTGTTGGAGTGTCTGTTCCTCAGTTTAGTGTGCATGTGTCCCGCAGGGTGCCTCTGTTGTATCTGCAGACTGTGATTGAGGGAGCTGTCCGAACGCTCAAGGTCATGCACGGCTCTCTTGACAGGTGTGTCTGTATATTTCTGGAGAGCGTTATGTGTGTGTGGATACAGCAGCTGATGACTGCATAACCTCTGTCTCTCTTCAGCTGCTTCTGTGAGGAGGAGAACGCTCCTCGTCTGGATCACTTCTTCTGCCTCTTCTTCCAGCAGCTCATCCAGCCGTGGCGTTTGATTGACAGCTCCAGACCGCCCAGCCCTGACATCTCTGGGAGCCTGTTCTTAGACGGGCTGCCGGCCGTCTGCTGGCTCACTTTACCAGCAGACATAAAGGTGTGGCTACTGAAGCTCTATGTAATGTCTCATGCATTAGTTTAAAGGAATATTTCACCCAATTCTGTCATTTACTCACCTTCATGTTGTCCAAATCCATATGCTGCTGTCTTTCGGTGATCATCCTCATGAAATTGGTACAATATGGGTGTAATATTAATAAATGGCATGCTCTCAGGTGTTTATTATGTTTTGGCTGTTTCTCAAGGTGGAAGTGGACACTGTGCTCTCAGACTTTGAGTCGTCAGATTTTGGTGACATGGTAAGATGTGTTCTTGAGCTCAGATAACCCGTTTTTTATTATCATAACTCCATAACTATGGGAAAACATTAAGGAATAAAATCAGTATATGATTTGATGTCAGGTTGTGTTTTGAAGAGATACTGTAGTGATTATCTTTAAGTAAAACTATTAAAAGATAGTTTTGGTACTTGAAATAAAGATGAATATGTTTTTTTAATATATTTATTGAATAAACTAAATATAAATATTTAATGAAATATTAGATGATAACACAAAAAATGTAAACAAATTATAATTATTGCCTTGACAACTTTTATTTATTTATTTAACTTAAAGCACTAAAATAAGTAAATAAAATATAAATAAAACTTCAAATTCACAAAAGCACATTAAAAAAATCATTGAAATGAAAATGGAAAATCTAAAAATAAAACCTAATTTAAAATATTAATTAATACATTATTAATATATCCCAGCCCTGACATCTCAGGGAGCCTGTTCTTAGACGGGCTGCCGGCCGTCCGCTGGCTCACTTTACCAGCAGACATAAAGGTGTGGCTACTGAAGCTCTATGTAATGTCTCATGCATTAGTTTAAAGGAATATTTCACCCAATTCTGTCATTTACTCACCTTCATGTTGTCCAAATCCATATGCTGCTGTCTTTCGGTGATCATCCTCATGAAATTGGTACAATATGGGTGTAATATTAATAAATGGCATGCTCTCAGGTGTTTATTATGTTTTGGCTGTTTCTCAAGGTGGAAGTGGACACTGTGCTCTCAGACTTTGAGTCGTCAGATTTTGGTGACATGGTAAGATGTGTTCTTGAGCTCAGATAACCCGTTTTTTATTATCATAACTCCATAACTATGGGAAAACATTAAGGAATAAAATCAGTATATGATTTGATGTCAGGTTGTGTTTTGAAGAGATACTGTAGTGATTATCTTTAAGTAAAACTATTAAAAGATAGTTTTGGTACTTGAAATAAAGATGAATATGTTTTTTTAATATATTTATTGAATAAACTAAATATAAATATTTAATGAAATATTAGATGATAACACAAAAAATGTAAACAAATTATAATTATTGCCTTGACAACTTTTATTTATTTATTTAACTTAAAGCACTAAAATAAGTAAATAAAATATAAATAAAACTTCAAATTCACAAAAGCACATTAAAAAAATCATTGAAATGAAAATGGAAAATCTAAAAATAAAACCTAATTTAAAATATTAATTAATACATTATTAATATATAGATAATATTAAAAGCTAAATTTCATATATTATAATTATAATAAATAATAAAAAGTAAATATGTATTATTTATATTACGTGTGTGTGTGTGTGTGTGTGTAAAATCCAATAAAAATAGCAAAAGATAGCAGAAAAAAATCACCAAAACTTAAACTAAAATTAAAATGAAAACTGAAAATATAAAAATAAAAACTCTTCAAAATCTTAAATGCATTAATAGTATATAAATAATACTAAAATAACACTGATGTGGTGCACAAAATGAAAAAACAGCTACATAATTTAAACAAATTTTACATCTTCAAGAATAAAAAATAAAATTTGTAAAAATGCAGTTTGATGGACAGTACATTTCTATGTGTATGTGTACAGAAAGTTCATTTTGGACGCTGGATACAGTCTTACTGTATTAGTCTGATACGGCTGATGGTTCAGTTACTGTCTGTCAGATTGTATTTGGATTATTCTGTAAAAACTGGATGGAAATACTTTTAAATGCCTTTATAACAATTTCAACATGAAGGGCTTGGGTTTGCAGCAGGGAAAGGTTATAAATGGTATTTCTCATTATAAATGTACAGTACTAACTAAGCAAGGTTATTATCGGTAACTAAATCTAACACCAATAATACTGTACCATAATAAACTATGATAGTATAGCAATGACAATGAAGTAACACTGGTATGAAATAATACTGTTACTCTGTTCTCTTGGTCAGTCTGAGGATTTCTATGGCATGAGGCGTCTGTACGTCATTTTGGGCTCCTGTCTGTTTTACAAGGTAAGTGCTGAACCACCTGAAGCCACATGTTATCATCCATTGTGAATCATGTTGCTGTAGAAAGTGCTACACGCCTGCTGTCAGTGAGTAATTGAAATTCAAACGTGCTTGTAAAGGAGTCTCATTCAGGTTTAATCTTTGAAACGAGTTTGACAGAAGGGCGACGTGCTGCTTCTTGTGAATGCAGCTGTCAGCTGAAGAGACTCTTTTAATTATGAATGATGATGTGAAGAGGATTGATAAGTTAAGTCTCCATCTGTTGCTCCTTAAAGGGATAGTTCCCCCAAAAATGAAAACTGTGTCATCATTTACTGACCCACAAGTGATTCCAAACCTTTATGAGTTTCTTTCAGATGTTGAACAAAGAAGAAGATGTTTTGAAGAATGTTGGTAACCGAACAGTTGACGGTAGCCATTGGCTTTCATAGCATTTTTTTCCCCATTTTAATGGCTACCGTCAACTGTTTGGTTACCAGCATTCTTATATAATAAACTTACATAATTGCACTTTATAACTCACAATTGTGAATTTATATCTCACAGTTCTGAGAAAAGAAGTCAGAATTGCGAGATATAAACTCGCAATTGCGAGAAAAAAGTAAAAGTTGCAAGACTTAAGTCAGAATTGTGAGATATAAACTCACAATTAAAAGAAATTGTCATAATTGCGAGATATAAACTTGCAATTGCAAGAACGAAGTCAGAATTGCAAGATATAAACTCGCGATCACAAGAAAATTTTCAAAATTGCGAGAAAATTGCAAACAAGTCACAATCTTTATTTTTTTTTATCTCACAGTTCTGACTTTGACATTCAATTGCAACTTTATATCACCCGATTCTGACTTTATAACTTGCAACTAAGAGATTAAATCTCGCAATTTTAAGAAAAAAAGTCTGAATCTTGACATGTAAACTCGTAATTGTGAGAAAATAAGACAGAATTGTGAGATATATACTTGCAATTGCAAGAAAAAAGTCAAAATTGCCAGAAACAAGTCAGAATTGCGAGATATAAACTTGCAATTACAAGAAAAAAGTCAAAATTGCCAGAAACAAGTCATAATTGCGAGATATAAACTTGCAATTGCAAGAAAAAAGTCAGAATTGCAAGATATAAACTCGCGATCACAAGAAAAATGTCAAAATTGCGAGATATTGTTACAGTTGCGAGAAAAAAGTAAATTGCAAACAAGTCACAATCATGATTTTTTTTTAATCTCGCAATTCTGATTTTGACATGCAATTGCAACTTTATATCACCCGATTCTGACTTTATAAATCTCGCCATTTTAAGAATTGTAAGATATAAAAACGCAATTGCGAGAAAAAAGTCAAATTGCAAGACTAAAGTCAGAATTGCGAGATATAAACTTGCAATTACAAGAAAAAAGTCAAAATTGCCAGAAACAAGTCAGAATTGCGAGATATAAACTTGCAATTACAAGAAAAAAGTCAAAATTGCCAGAAACAAGTCAGAATTGCGAGATATAAACTTGCAATTACAAGAAAAAAGTCAAAATTGCCAGAAACAAGTCAGAATTGCGAGATATAAACTTGCAATTACAAGAAAAAGGTCAAAATTGCCAGAAACAAATCAGAATTGCGAGATATAAACTTACAATTGCAAGAAAAAAGTAAATTGCAAAACAAGTCACAATCGTGATTTTTTTTTATCTCGCAATTCTGACTTTGACATGCAATTGCAACTTTATATCAACCGATTCTGACTTTATAACTCGCAACTGAGAGATTAAATCTCACAATTTTAAGAAAAAAAGTCTGAATCTTGACATGTAAACTCGTAATTGTGAGAAAATAAGACAGAATTGTGAGATAAAAAGTCGTAATTACCCGTTTTATTTTTTATTCAGTGGCGGAAATGGGCTTCTCTAGTTAGCAGTGTTTATGTTCTTTGTCACACATTTTTACACTACTGAAGGTCAGGAATACAGATCTGTTATTTGTCCATCTGTCTGGCAGGGATATCTCATAGCGAACCACCTGCCTAAAGAAGACCTTCTGGACGTGTGTTTGTACTGTCAGCATTACTGTCTGCTGCCGCTGGCGTCTGAGCAGCGCGTGGGGCAGCTGGTGGTGTGGAGGGAGGTGTTTCCACAGCGGAGAACCCAGAACAACACCGCATCACATCCTGGATACTGCGAACCACACGGAAGACACTTCCTGCTCATAGTGGGCCTGGTGAGAGATGCTGTTCTTTTGACCTTTCTATTCATCAAAGAAACATGAAATAAAACGTATCACAAAGTATGAAGTATAATAATAAATGTTTCTCGAGCAGCATATTAGAATGATTTCTGAAGATCATGTGACACTGAAGACTGGAGTAATGATGCTGAAAATTCAGCTTTGCATCACAGAAATAAATATGGGGCGGAGTCTGTTCGGGGAGGCGGGGTCAGGCTCGTCAAGTCTGAGAGGACGGAGACCGAGTCCACAGAGGAGTCTGTCTGACAGCGGCAGTGAGGGTCACGCCGACGGGACGCCGTCCTTCACATCGGGTCTGAGTCCTCATTCCACACCGGACGCAGTGCACCGGATGCCCTCTAGTGGCACACGCAGAGACTCCCTGGGCTCGGGAGGGTCAGACGGCAGCCTGGGCAGCGCAGGATTTTTCAAGGTCTTTCTCTTACATTAAAGGGATAGTTCACCCAAAAATGAAAATTCTGTCATTAATTACTCACCCTTATGTCGTTCCAAACCCGTAAGACCTCCGTTCATCTTCGGAACACAAATTAAGATATTTTTGATGAATTCTGAGAGATCTCTGACCCCCCCATTGA